TAGTGTCTACTGATCAACCTGGACCTCATTATATAGGCATGCTCAACTTTGGAAACGAAGCAGTAGTCATCAGTTACAGTCTCATAGTGACGTTTCGAAAGTTTGGTAAAAATAACCACTGGTTTGTGGAGTACAACGTGAAAAGTCTTCCACTTCAGTACGCTGCTCGCCAGGTTTTGTTCATGTATACAGTGTACTATTTCGTGGCTAACTTTTCAGAGTTGATATCTTGTGGTGTGGTTTTCTACACTTGTTTCATCACCGGAATTTCTCTTTTCACTTTCGGCTTGAATCCCTATTGGCTTTACGAGACTATTGTAGATGCATTAGAGCATCAATTTGTTAGAATTGGAACCGGACAACGATGATTAAGAGATCTGACTGCTGTTCCGTACCTACCAGCAGACAGTCGTTTAATGTCTTTGTTTGAAGTTGGAGCTGATCCGTTGAAAACAGCTCTGCAGTTTGTTGTTCATGCATCCGACTTCTAGGTGCCTTCCGACTGGCTGAAATTGATCTGACACATGTACTTTTTGATTTGGCGAATGTCAATCATCTCTTGAAAGAAGTCGTTGCATTGGTTCATGGCTTCACATTTCTGTCGTAGCTTCATTGCGTAAGAATTGAATTGCCGGAAATCTCTGCGTGCTGAGTGACCATATTGGGCATGCATTCATTGGTCATTTCGTATTTCCCCTGTGATTTACTGACGGGCAATTTCATTTTAATCTGGTCCATCTGAGCCATATGCCGTAGTTTGATCGAAATGTGGGTTGAACTCAAGCTCTTTGCATGAATGTGGGCTTTTTGGAGATGAAGGAATATCTTCATTTGCCCAAAATCTGGCCGAATCTTCTATTTCCCAAAAGTGTGGTTGATCGGCTGTCAAGGAAGTTGATTCCATTCCGCTGCGAGTTTTTTTCTCGGGACTTTTGATCAGTATCAACTACACCTGTTCTTCTTGTTCACTCCAACCATGCTATCTAGCGCTTTTTTTAGTTTGATACGAAGCTGGTGCATGGCTTGTAGTCTGATGACGTTCGTCTTAGCACACTTGTCAACGAGAACCCTCAAATAATGGTTTTGACCGTTCTGAGATCAAAATTTGACGTTTGCCCGTGATAGAACTGTGATGCTTCCAGTTCGGAGGATTTGAAGAGCAGCTATTGTCGCTTTGAGGTGAACATTAGTCTGGCTACAACTTCCATGAGCTGTATGATGCTTTTTTTGACATGTCTTCCACAGTCATGTTGGAGGACATTGCTGGATGCCGCGACTGGTAGAGAAACAAGTGAAGCATATCCTATTGCTGATTACTCTTGAGATAAGCAAGAATACTGCAATCGGGTACTAAACTTTTTCCTGGAAGTAATTTGTTTAGAGGTTGATCAATTTGGTACGAATGGTTAATTTTAAAACCTGATCGTTTTCTTGAAAATTCAAATACAACTACTGTTATTCAGGCAGTGAATAGGTGAAGGCCGTTTCTGGTAGTAATTATTGTTTCTAATAAATATCAAATATTTTCGGATTCAAAATTCTCTGGTACTAATGTTTATCGGCTTACTTTGTTAAGCTTGGATTTTACTTCATTCTTTTTTTTTAACTGTACTTGAAATTTTTGTCATTTTACCAAGTCTGATTTTGAATTTTTTTTTCTTGTGAACGACTGATGTTTTATTGTCTTAGTTAAGTAATTTTGCGTAGTTTTGAGAACATAAAATTTTCTTTCACTACTCAGATAATTTGAAAATGTGAAGAATTTGATTTTTTATGATTTTCTGAGACGATTTGGTTTTTTTTCCCTTTTGGCTAAATTTTTAATTATTCTCAACAACTACTTCGCCGATTTTCAAAAAATTGTTACCATTATAGTCTTTAACAATGTGTGTCTGCATATTTCCCTAGTCTCTTTTCACCTTAATCCACCTTTAACGGCCTTCGAACATTTCAACGGGGTGAATGTTTAACTCCTTGTTTTCTACCTGTCTACTTCGTCAAATCTGAGTCAATGTCTACCTCGCCAAATCTGAGATTACGGTTTCATTGTAGAAAGAGGTAATTGGGATTTCCTCTGCTGGAACCGCTACGTGCTAATTTTAAAAGAGAAGTAGTGGCCTCAAAAAGGGTTATTTTTGTATTTGCGAAGTGCTGCTTCGTCTCTGTGTAAAGCTCTAAAGAAAAAGGAATTAGACTAGGAATTTTGATTTTTTGCATGGCGTCCAAATGCTCAGATGTGATTACCTACCAATCTATTTCAGTCGTAAGCTCTTGATCGTTCGCTCCTTTTCTTGATGCTAGCAATGGTAATAATAATTTTATTATGTTTCAGGGTATCTTTGGGTTCGTGTATGGGCTCATTTACAAAGACTCTCTCGCAGTTTTAAATCGCGATTCAGTCACTGATTTTATGTTCAAATCTTACATTGGCTACATCTTGTTCGAACTAGGCCTCCTCTACATCACATATCGCAGTCTGTTCGCTTTCTTTACTGACCACGGTCTGAGGTTGCTTCTAATACACCATCTGATAGCTATGAGTGCCTCTTACACTTTAGTGTCTTCTGATCAACCTGGACCTCATTATATAGGCATGCTCAACTTTGGAAACGAAGCAGTAGTCATCAGTTACAGTCTCATAGTGACGTTTCGAAAGTTTGGTAAAAATGACCACTGGTTTGTGGAGTACAACGTGAAAAGTCTTCCACTTCAGTACGCTGCTCGCCAGATTTTGTTCATGTATACAGTGTACTATTTCGTGGCTAACTTTTCAGAACTGATATCTTGTGGTGTGGTTTTCTACACTTGTTTCATCACCGGAATTTCTCTTTTCACTTTCGGCTTGAATCCCTATTGGCTTTACGAGACTATTGTAGATGCATTAGAGTATCACAGGGACAAAAATCAGCTCAAGGTTAATTAATTTCCGATGATTTTGTATCTAAAAAATTATGTAGATTTTTTGTACTGATTTTGCACTCTAGATTGATGATTCCTAAATTTTTGTAATCGTTTTTTATCAACGTTGATGAGTTTAGAGCATGGTTTATTGCTCTTGATTATACTTGTACTTGTTTCAAAATAAATTTGATTGCCTAAAATGCTCAAATTGAACTTGCTTGCCTCTTGTTTTGAAGCTATTTTATGAAGCTACTCTCAATTATTTTTTCGAACTAGGTAGGACAATTTACTGCACTCGAGTGCTTAGTGGTGCGCAGAAACAGTGGTTTTGGCACAGAACCGCCCACTTAAAGCACGATTTTGGCTGCGAAAAACAACTCTTGCTTCGAAAGACAGAAATGACCTCAGGTTCTTAATTTGCCTCTGTCTTTTTCAATTCGTTCAAAAAATGCAGACGTACAAAAATGGGCGTGAACGAAGGTTCTTTGTTGAAAAATGGGAACACTCGAAAGTTAAATTACTGACTGTTCTTTTGAATCAAACAAAAAAATCGCGTTATCAAAATCCCGTGACGCCAGCGGGTTATTGATTCTTTTTAATCAAGTTGCAGCATCCTTAAATTAACGAGTCGGACTCATTGATGTGCATGGTATTTTACAATCAGAGCAATGTAATTTAGTAGGACGGGATTACTCTTTATGGGGCTAGTAATTAAAAGGTATTTTTTAGAGTAATGAACGTAGTGAAGGCTTATATAGGTCTTGGAATTTTTTTTTTCAGAAAAAAGTCTTAATGCTCTAATAATTACAGATGTGTATTCATAGATTTTCATGCATTTTGAATGCGCAAGGTATCTATGCACTCTCTAAAGCTCACTTGAAGTTCATCTGCTGAAAGTTATGCAAATTGCACTCTCCAAATACGAACGTGGAAAAAGCGCAAAAAATGTGAACGACTTCTCGTTTCTGAAGTAGAATTTAACTGATAGGTTTCCCAGCGGAAAAAAAAATTTATGTATTGATCCAGTTTTCTCAAATTGAGTTCACTTTATCTAAAAAGCAACAATCATAAATTGTTATTGAAATTCAAAGCGCTTTGAGGGCATGTATTTTTTTTTAATTCGAACGTTTTTTTTTTTCAGCTTTCTTTTTCGGTTTCCTTGCGTTCCTTACTCTTTTCCAACTAAAAGTTGGCTATTTTTTATACTACTAGCAGGTTTTTTTGGCGTTGTGTGTAACTTCCATTTTTCGGAAGATCATAACTCATAGTAAGTTCTGTGATCGATTCTGGCTGTGGACCGATTTATCAAACCGGAATGTAGACGTTTTTCGTATTAACAATTAGTTTAAAAATCACTTGTATCATTTTTACCTTTGTGTTATCTTTCTGTTTTATTTAATTGGTTGACCTCAAAAAGGAGGTGTTTTGCCAGATTTCTGAATGAAACCAGGTACTAAATTTAGTTCCTTGAATTGAGTCAGGTAAAACAGGTCATTTTCATGTTTTTTTTTGCCCAATACAAAAAATATTAAAAATTTCAAGCAAAGTGTCGTTTTCTGCTGTAATCTATCAGAGCTAGCATATGAATTATAAAAATTTGCAAAAAAATTAACCATGAAAGATTTTTTGGCACCGTTTTCAATGTCGCCCAGTATAGGTCTTGATTTTTTTCAGGAAAGTCATAAAATTTTTCACGCTCAAACTTGATTTTTCGCGGTTTGACTTATGGTTTCTTCTGAAGTTTGATTTATGCCACTTCTTAGATGAAGGCAAACTCCACTATCGAACTCGAACAGCAAAAGAAAGAGAAGATGACCTTAAATTTCCAGCTTAATAAAAAATTTACCTATTGATAGTTTTCTCTACATTGGATAGTCTAGCGAAGAAAGTGCTAATCATAAACACTATTTGTTGAAAATCAAAGAGCTTCAACGTGATATTTTTATATCTTCGTAAATTGAAAAGTGTTCAAACACTTTTCAATCAACCGGACCTTGTTCGTTTAAACTTCTACTGTCTGTTAGTTATGTTTTCGATCTTTTGTTGAATGGTTAGTTTTGATCTTCGTTACTTTTAAATAGTGAATATTTATTTCAGACAGTGTAATGGCCAACAGGACAGTGAAGGATGCGAATACTATCCATGGTACCAATCCACAGTACCTGGTGGAGAAGATAATACGCAGTCGAATCTACGACTGCAAGTATTGGAAAGAACACTGCTTCGCTCTCACATGTAAGGCTTTGTTTCGCGCTGTCAAATTCAACGCTAAAAGAATTTGATGCAAACTTCGGTTTCAAAAAAATATAAAAAGGCCTTTTGTTGCGCACCAATAAAAAGATATTACATTTGATATAATCGAATCTGTGCTCCTTGGATCTTTTATTGCTTAGGAGCTTGCTACAGACCTTGGAGCTAGATACAAAGCTTCGTACTGACTATTGATCAAAAGGTGCTCGCGGTTGTGCTTTTTACCTAAGCTTGCGGCCCTAGATAGAAGCTTGAATATGAATATATGAAAATATGAGTATGCGGTTAATATTCTTCTAATATGAAGAATATCGAGTTAAATATGTCACTGACGAAAATCGATGTGTCATAATAAGTTGGCGTGAATTTCAGCGGAGATCTTAGTGGACCGCGCGATGGAATTGAGGTACGTCGGGGGATCTTACGGGGCCAACATCAAAGTGACCCCCTTCATGTGTCTGCTCCTGAAGATGCTGCAGATCCAGCCTGACAAAGACGTCATCGTCGAGTTCATCAAACAGCAAGACTTCAAGTTGGTAATCATTGGTTGTTCTCGTTACCGCGTTTCGAAACAACCTTATTAATTAACTGCAAGTATTATGCTGTACTTTTTTGTAGAGAATCAAACTACTTGCTTGTAGCTACTCAATTCCACCCAAAAAATATGAACTGACGAGGATTCCACCTGTAAATATCGGATTGTTGGAATTGGATAGAGTTGACAGAACCTCCGAAACAAGGGTCGATAAGATAACATGCGGATGTAGCTCCTAAAATTGTATGAAACACTGAATAGTTGCTTTTCTAGTTGCTTGCAAAAATCGGAATCATTGTGACCTTAAAAAAACTTCAGGTGTTTTTCGCTATTTTCGCTTTATTTATTTCAGGTACGTAAGATGTTTGGGAGCTGTTTACTTAAGACTAACGTTTTCCTCGTTAGAATGTTACAAGTACTTGGAACCTCTGCTGGTGGATTACAGAAAAATCAGATGTATGAACTCAAATGGAGGTTAGTCTTTTGTTCAATTTCAAACAGAATGAAGCTGGTTGACGAGATCTCCCGAACCAAACCAAACCAAACCAGACATTTAAAGATTGCTATTTAAGGGACTGTTTTTAGGTGCGTCTATCTGTTTCAGAGTTCGTTTTGTCGTACGTTGATGAGTTCATTGATAAGCTGTTGACAGAAGATAAAAGTTGTTCTATCGTGCTGCCGCGCCTGACTAAACGAATAGCATTGGAGGATTTAAATCAACTCCAGCCGAAGGTAATTATTTGCATTGTACTGATAATCATTTTGGGCCCTCCTATGGCCTTGGCGTCTATAATGGATCAATTTGTAAATAAGTTGCAAGTTATCATGATGAGCTGTTTGCGTAATGGCTTGTGATGTATGAGATATATAACATTAAAATCAAAATCATGCGTTTTCTAATAATCAGCTCCATTATGCAGAGAATTGCCTGCATTTGGACAGAAAAGCTATATCATTTTTAATTTTTTTGTTACAGTTTTAAAGGCGCTGAAACCCTGACTAGTTTCAATGAAACTTCAAAAATCAACGAGACCCAGTCCCAAAAACTGTTTGTTCCTCTAACTTGGCTTGTTACGAGCGTTGGTTTGTAATAAACATCTTCGGCTTGTTGTATACAGTTAAAGTTCTTCGGCTTGTTGCATAGGAATAATTTTGTTTTCAATTTCATACCTAGACAATTGCCATAATCGGAAATGATTTTTCTTTAAGGAGTTAGAAATTGGGAGAAAATTAATTAGGTTTGTCTCAAGCCTTGGCCGAGTATTTTTTAGTATAATTTTTCTGCTCGTTGAAGTTAGCACAATGTATACATTGAAATTTGTTTTTCAGTACTAAAATCCAAAACAAATTCAGAAGCTTATTGCCAACGGTAGAAGAAATTGTTTTCCTAGGATATTAAAAAGATATGAAATGTGTCTGAGTCGTTGGGAGTTATTTGTAAAAAGCAAAACTGCTGCTTGACCGTAAAAATGCATCTTTAGGTTGCACGCTTTCCGTAGAAATTAGGTCGTATTGGCGTTCAAAAAAGCAACGTAGAAAATTTTGATATTAGGTCGGACAAAAGGGATACCGTTTAATTTTAACCATCGGACCCTTTGGGTGACTAGAGAGTCAAGCTCTTGATTGGGGGAGATGGTAAGTAGCTTATAGCCCACAAAATCTTTTGTTGCTTCTCTTATACAAATATGAAAAATTTAAGCTCTCCTAATCTAGAAATGAAGCTAAGCTGGACACTGATTTGTACTTTTTTTATTCGTGCTTAGGTGTCGGCACTGGAAGAAGATCTGGAGTTTGAAGAGGATGATGCTAGCAGCGACGAGGAACCAGCTAGCAATGTTAGACAGTAAAAGCTAAAAGCCATACTTCAATGCAATTAAAGATATAAATTATAGCTTTTTCGGATATTCGAAATGAATTTTGATTGCAGGGAAAAACAGATTCAACGTGGTTAACAAATTTAAAAGTTATGTCAATTGATATACGTCGAAATGATATGATCCGAAAAAACTTGATTTAGGTTATTATTATGCTATTTTTCTTCGTTTTAGACTAAAAAAGGCAGGGATGCTGTATTGTCTAGAAGTCGGTCAACATCACCAATTCCCACAAAAAGGTAAGCTTGTTCATGTGCGGTAATAATTTTAAGGCGTCATTGAAAAGTTCATTGAAAATAATTTAAGGAATCATTGAAAATATCTTTTGTATAATTACACTTGTCATGTTTATGGTTTACCAGAAAACGCAGCAGTAGAAGTCGAAGCAAAGACAAAAGAACTGGAAACAGCTCGAAATCAGCTGAGAAGAAGAAAAAGAAATCTGATAAGAAAGAAAAGAAATCGAAAAGTAGTCGCAAGGAAGAACAGAAATCTTCGCGAAAAAAAGATGACGATGATTATCACAAAGACAGTTTGAGTATCAGCGAGACAAACAAGCTAAGAGCTAGTTTGGGTCTAGCTCCGTTGGTTGAATAAGCGAGGAAAGTTGCGGATTCATTAGATGGAGTAATCGAAAGTTCGCCGCTTCGTGGAACCTATTGGTCACAATTCTAGCTCGACGAAAGTTTTGACGAGAAAATTTGATAAAAACGGTCAGACTCAGGATAAGTTTTACGATTCATGTGCTGGTTTTGATTTTGATATAGTAATTAAAGTTTGCATTTAAAATTTTTGAACGATGGAGCTAGAATTTATTATCGAGAAAATTTTATAACGGAGCACCAATAGAATTTTATTATCAAGCTGAACGCCACGTGCAAAATCGGTTATTTTCTACCTCCTCTTATGAACTTTGAAAAAAAAATTAAACGTTGTACTTAATGCACAAGCATAAGCTTGTTAAGAGTCATGAACGTAGTGAATACTTTGATCTAGGTCTGCACGATTTTTTTTCTGAGGAAAAAACCTTGAAATTTGTTCTCACTAAAGTTTGAATTTTGCGGTTTGAATTTTGATTTCTTTTTTGAAATTCCCTTCATTTCAAAGGAAGTTGAAAAGAAGGCAAACTCCACTATGAAACAGCAAAACTGTAAAGATCACGAAAAACAAGATTCGAAAGTGGATTTTAATTTGCAGATTTAAATTTGTGGAATAAAAATTTAAATTTTATCTATTGATCCAGTTTTACCAAATTGGGGTAGTTTTTATCAATCATGAATGGTGCTTGAAATTTTAAGAGATTTAAGGCCATATATCTTTTATTTGAAATTCGAAAAATGAAGTGTTCTTAAGACAAATCAATCGAGCCGAACATATTTCTAGCAGATCTAGATTTATTCGATTTTCATAGGTTTTTTGTTTTCACTCGTTTGTTTCATCTCAGTATCTGTCGGTTAGATTTGTATCGCAAGTGGTGTAAAACTTTTGTTTTGTCTCTGTGTTTGGACATTTTTTTTTGGTTCTGTGTTGGAAAAGAACAGCACATTTGTAGCGGAAAAGAGCCCGGAAGTCTTTGTGCAGTAGCTGTAGCTAGCTCTCACAGTTTGTTAACTTTTGAAAAAAAGTTGTGAGCGGTGAGTAAGTTATAACTTATAATATCAAAATATATTGAGAAATCTCCCCAATGGTACATGCTGTAAGATCTCACCTCTAAAAATATTTTGATTCAAATAATCCTGCTTAATTTCTTTAAATTTCGTTCTGTTCGTGCGAATTATCGCTTTTTTTGTCTGCATCTGAGATAAGCTAAATTCAGTTATATGCTTCGTTACGCTTTCGATTAGCAATTGTTGTCAAATCGGAATATAGGCTTTGTTGGGTTAAAAACTTGTAAAACAGAATCACGCGAACGCGAAGCATTTGATAAGTTTGTTCGTAACGAATTCAAATTTTTAGCATCTCTGGCGCAGTTGGTTTAGAGGTAAGAACTGTGACGGCAAAAATCTGACCAGAACATTTTTTTCAAACGACAAAAAAATCAGTTTAGTAGAAATTGTTGGCTTTTTGTTTGTTTGCTTTTGTTTTGCCGGCTTAGTTGCCACATCACGGATTTTTCTTGTGTTTTAAGTTATTTTCCTTGACCTGGAAAGTAATTTTGTGTAATTTTCTTTTTTTTTTCGCTTAGTTTTTTTGGCCTCGAATGTTTTGATTTATGTTTTATCGCTCAGAGACCTAATGTTGCGTCATTTAAACGGATTTTCATGCTCTTATGTTCTCGGATAGAGAGGCGTATAAATTAAGAATTTCAAAAGTTAGTGACTCAAGGGAACTCTACGTAATTTTTTTTCGGCCCACTTACTGCTTGATAAATGATTTTGAATTCATTTGTAACGCCTCCGATTGTGTTTCTAAACGGGTTTTTCTCTAATTAAACATTGCATACAAAATTTGCGTACAAATGAAACATTGCATACTGCTTCGCCTCTGTTGAATAAACTACTGGAGGCGGCGGGGTTGTCCACTAGATCCCAAAGTTCGACAAGTAAGCTTTCACCTTTAAATCTTCTTCAAACGTTGATACACGTATTCATTTTGTTTATTTCGATTAGGGTGAAGTCGGAAATTAATTTGAACTTCGCGGAATACTTGCCATTATCTAGAAACGAATTTTCTTTTTTGTTGTTGTATTGAACTAGCAGAAGTGAATATGTAGATTGCCAATCATTCAATGTCGCAACCAAAACCGGAACAGTTACCAACCCAATTTTTTCTCTACGGAAAAAAAACGTTTGCTAGTTTTTTTTGCTCCAGATCGGAACGGAAAGGCAGTGTTATATTTTAGCTGCTGAAAAAACCAGACTTCTATTCTAAGTTCAGTTTTGATCGAGGAATCAAGTTATATTAAATAGACGATGAGGCAGAGTCAGCATTTTGCTACAACCTGAGTTTCCATGAGTCAATTTAACAAAATTGGCTTTCTGACCTCTCCGAAAGATGCGATTTGCCGCTGTTTTGTGGGCTGCTGAATAGCTTTTCATTACCATTGCGATAAGCAAAGGTATTACTACCGGGTACAACACTTTTTTCCTGAAAAAAACTTTGCTCCAAGAAAAGTCAACTTAGAAGGAACTTAGAAATGGTAAGATACTAATGCACCACCTACATCTTTCATGTACCGCTCATTTAGGGTTCGCTATTGACTTGTAGATGATACAAGAAGGTTCTTTTTTTTTGAAAAGTTTCGGATTAATTTCAGCTAATAAGGCGTCATCTCTAGTTCTGTTGGTTTATTGACCTTTTGTGTTTTAAGATTTCAATTCTTTTTCGTTATTTGAATTGATTCAAATTTCGCGAAATGTTCTCAAAAGCTTCAAAACTACTTCTCCGGCACTCCTCTGAAAAACATCAAAAAACTATCATTTTTTTCAGGTTAGAATTCTTTTTCGTTCTTTTTTCTACAGAGGTAGGTATGTTCTAAATTGTACTCACTACTTGGAGGAAATTTAGTTTTAGTTTTCTACGAAATAGTCTTTGTATAATTATCCGATCAGTTTTTTCAACTAATTTTTTATTACAGTTGCTATAGCAAGTGTTTTGTAATCGGGAAATAGACTTTTTTTCCCGTAAAAAACTATTGTTACAACTTGCTTTAGCTTTGAATCATAAAATTTTCTAGATGTCTTTGCCCTTGGCCTAGAGGTAACGTCGTTGCCTTTGCATCATGAGGTCCGGGGTTTGAGTCCCTTCCGGACCTTGTTTTTTTTTCAGTATGTATGCGATTGATTTTTTCTGGTAAAAACTGATTTGTGGGGCTTCCGTTTAACTTCTTAAAATCTGTCGGCATCGAAATTTGATATTTACGTTGGCTGTAATTTTACCAATTCAATTTGATAAATGTTCGTTCTTTTAAATTTCGTCTTTTTATCGGCTTAATTCGTATAATTTTTTTATATCCACTTTATGGCTTTTTGCGTCGTTTGAGGACCGAATTTGGTTTTGTACGCGTGTGTGCGTTCTGAGAGGAAAAGGGCCCCTAAAATTTTCTTATTAATTTGGAATTTTTTCGTCTTGAAGGGTTTCTGCTCAGGTATTTTCGGCTTTGTTGCGGCTTGGTATTTATTACTTCAAAATCAATCAACCATCCAGATCATATCGCTTAGACGTAACAAAATTGCTTGAGATGGAAAAGGTTTTTGGCCGGGACATGTTTTTTTGTGAACTAGAGTCTTTGTGCTTTTTCTGACAATCATCCGTCTGTTTCCTTTTGTCGGCTTAGTTCCCTTAGCCCGACTTTTTTTTGTAGGTTCAGCTTTCTTCCAATTTGTTGCATCACCCATTCTGGACACCTTAGAGCCCGTGAGTTCGATTCCAGTTGAGACCTGTTTTCTTTGCAAACATAAAATTTTCGGCTAATTTAGATTGTCGGTCTGCTTATTTTTGTCGGCTTAATTTCACTGAAAGGGCTTTTTGAATATTCGATTTCTTTCTATCCATCCCAAAGCTCCTTGTATGGTTTTCACTGATACAGGTAATTTTTTGGATATTTGGGTCGTTTTTTGCAATTTTTATTGACAAAACGGTTTTTTGGAGTTTTTTTTTTTTCATTTTTTTTTGTTTGATTTTAATCATAGCCATTCATTTTTGTATCGCAAGTGGTGGTTGCCTCTGTGTTTGGAATTCAAAACCTTCGCTTGGCATGTGTGCCTAATGTTCCTATTTGATAAAAACAGGTGTATTGAAAATGTATGGGATTTGGTTTTTTATTTATTTATTTTTTAAATGTTTGAACAGCTTAACCGCATAAGCGGCTATGCCCAATTGTTTTAACACATAATTTTATGTCCTTTGAAAAAGCCAAGTTTTTGATTTTGTAAGCAATTTTTGAATTTTTTCGAAAACTAGCTTCTTCAATCTGAAAGTGTGGGCTCAATGGAGATAATGGCTAATGGGAGTTTCCCTGTCTTAGCGGCTACTCACATTTTTTGGCACAAAAATTTCTCGCCGTCGTAAAAGTCAAATTCTTGATTTTTTGAATGTTTTTTTTTTAATATTTTTCAAAAGCTACCCACCATATTTGAATTTTCGGGTTCATTCTAAAGAACGGGTTGTGGGAAGCTTCTTTGCATACTCGACATTGCCCAATTTTCACCATTTTTTTCAGACTTTTTGATTTTTCCCGTGCCAGTTCTCAGGTTAAGTGTTCAATGGAAAAACTCGACTTTGGGAATTTTATCACTTGAGCCGCCACGTCCTGCTTTTTGCAGAAGAAAGTTATCGATTTTTGAAAGTCAAGTTTTTGAACTTTCGATCGTTTTTCAGAAAGTTTTTGACTTTTCTTAAAAATTGCCCTATCAAATTTATTATGAGGGGTTCAACTCCAATATCTCAAAATGAGAAAACTCCAATATCTCAAAATTTTTGACTCATCTAACTTATTTTAAAAAATTTCGAAATTACGCATTTCGTGCTTCATCAGTATAGCAAATTTAAAAAAGATAAACTTTTTAAGTATAGCAGATTTAACTAGGCCATTGTTTTTTATCGAGACATTGGAAAAACTTAGTTAGTTTTTTGGTTCACCTAGTTTTTCAGCTTTTTATATATTTTTATTCAATTTGTTGTTTTTTATTATGTTTGTGTTTTATCGCAAGTTTAATTGCTTCGGCTGAAATGGTTTCAACTTCGGTTAGTTGCCTTATTTGTATGTCGTTTAAATAGCGAATTCAGGTTCATATGTGTTTGTGTGATTCGAGGACAACATAGAAATTAGAATTTTACAGAGCCTTATATCTTTGATTAAGCTTAAATTTTGGCTGACCAATTTCTCCCGGCTTAACGTGCGTCTATCCAAGTTTTGTCTGCTTAGTTGCCGTTCGATAAATTGTGTATCAAATTTTGTTAAAACCTGGCAATGGTGTTTTGTGACAGGTTATCATCAAAATGAGCAAATGGGTTTTTTGGGACGTATGAGTGCTTTGGATGGTTTATTGTAGTTTTCGAAAAAAAAAAATCGACTGCTAGTAATCGGCTATTTCTGTCATTCTGTTTTTTTTTGTATCGCAAGTAGTGCGAAGCTCTGTTACGCCTCTGTGAAAAAAAAATTACGACAGAATTTTCTCAGCTTATTTTTTATAACCGTTTGTAGCGATATCTATTGGAGTCAATTTGGTGACTTCCCAAATAGCAGGAAAGAGTAAAAAGAAATTATGCATCCAAAATCATGCTGAAACAAACAAAAATCTTTTTTTTTTCAATTAGTTTCGAGCAAATGATATCAGTACCTTCAATTATATGAAGTTTAAAAGGATAAACAAAAGGCGCATTGCGCGCTTGTCGAAGTTCTACCCGGAAGTCAACTGACCTGAAACAATTAATTTTGAGCTGTGGTTAGTTTTTCTGGAGATTGTAAACTCTAAATTGAAACTTGGTTTTTTTTTACTTCAAGCCACTGAATATCCTCATTGAAGATACAATCCAAGTTTATCATGGAAAGAGAATTTAGTTGCCCGGGGTCGAGTTCGCGCCATGGATGTTTTCAGATGACTTTGACGGCATTGGAAGATGTCACCAGACTAAGTAGCAGAGTGATCCGTGTTCTGGCTCAAAATCCAGGAGTAGGTCCTCTACAAGGAACAAACACTTACGTCATTGGAACTGGATCCAGAAGACTTCTGGTGGACACAGGTGACAATCCAGACCAGAATACGTCTGCTAATGTGAAAAAGTTAGTCGCTTTAAAATTTAATATAATTATATATTATTAGTATTGTTATTATATTAAATATTGTTATGATTATGATTATTATTATTACTATTAATATTATGATTCTTATTATTATTTTTATTATTATTATGATTATTACTATTATTATTATTATTATTATTATTATTATTATTATTATTATTATTATTATTATTATTATTATTATTATTATTATTATTATTATGATTATTATTGTTATTATTATTATTATTATTATAATCTATTATATTATATATTTAAATGCGGGCTTCACTATCTCGCCATGTTTAAGCTTTTTCAACGTATTATTTTTGCATGTTTAAGCTATATCGTATATTGCAATGGTTAAGAATTTTTTTTCTATTTTCCAATTTGATTTTAGTGGTTATTTTACCGGGTTTAAATTAAGCAGCCCAACATCGAATTAGGGGTTGCCAATTTGGCCTCCAATTTTGAATGCCCGAATCATTTTCATTTTAGCTAACGAGATAAGACGATTTTTGAGATTTTTTCAAAAATTATCTGAAATTTCAAATAACAAAATAATTTTAAAAACTTGAAGTTCCCAATCCTGTAGTTGGGCGCTGTCAGAGTACTCTAAGGAGTTACTAATATTGCCTCTACTACTAAGGAGTTACTAATATTGCCTCCAAATATGACTGTTCAAATCCTTGTAGTTTTCGAGATATGACGTTTTTTGTGATTTTTTTAGAAAACCAAATTTTTTTCGCACGTTTTTTGTGATTTTTTTAGAAAACCAAATTTTTTTTCGCATAATCTGAAATTCTTAACCCTGTTGTTGGGTCCTGTCAGAGTAATCTCAAAGATTGCGAATCTTGCCTCCAAGTATGACTGCTCAATTCTTTGTAGTTTTCGAGATATGACGTTTTTTGTGATTTTTTCAAAAATTTTCAGAAAATTTTAATTAATTTTCTAAAAATTTGAAATTCCCAGCCCTGTAGTTGGGTCCCGTCAGAGTAATCTCAAAGATTGCTACTCTTGCCTCCAAGTATGACTGCTCAATTTTTTGTAGTTTTCGAGATATGACGTTTTTTGTGATTTTTTCAAAAATTTTCAGAAAATTTAAATTATTATGATTTTTTTTAATCTGAAATTCCCAACCCTGAATTTGGGTACTGTCAGAGTACTATAAAGGATCGCGGATCTTGCCTCCAAATATGATTGCTCAAATCTTTGTAGTTTTCGAGATATGATGTTTTTTTGTGATTTTTTCAAAAATTTTCAGAAAATTTTAATTAATTTTCTAAAAATTTGAAATTCCCAACCCTGTAGTTGGGTCCCGTCAGAGTAATCTCAAAGATTGCTACTCTTGCCTCCAAGTATGACTGCTCAATTTTTTGTAGTTTTCGAGATATGACGTTTTTTGTGATTTTTTCAAAAATTTTCAGAAAACTTAAATTATTATGATTTTTTTTTAATCTGAAATTCCCAACCCTGAACTTGGGTACTGTCAGAGTACTATAAAGGATCGCGGATCTTGCCTCCAAATATGATTGCTCAAATTCTTGTAGGTTTCGAGGTATGATGTTTTTTGTGATTTTTTCAAAAATTTTCAGAAAATTTTAATTAATTTTCTCAAAATTTGAAATTCCCAACCCTGTAGTTGGGTCCTGTCAGAGTAATCTCAAAGATTGCTACTCATGCCTCCAAACATGATTGTGAGACTGTATTTCACTGCGTTTAATATTTTGTGCACGCATAATTATACATGTAATCAACCTGCCAACTCACTCGCTAGATAGTATCATTATATTAACGCATAAACACTTTTCAGATTCAGATATTGACGTTGTGCCTTTATATTGGATTTACACAATACATTATTTCTTATACAAGTTACTTTAACAATGGTAGCAGGAGTGCAATGACGAGCTACAAGACACCTCCAGAGTTCGTCGGGAAGACGTACGAAGTATGGCGACGAGAAGTCACCCTTTGGCAGCATGTCACAGATTTAAAAAAAGACAAACAAGCTGCAGCAGTAGCCTTGTCACTAAAAGGTGCGCTCAGAGATATTGCAATATCCATGAATTTGAATGAGTTGAATACTGACGATGGAATGTCCATACTCCTGGCAGAACTGGACAAACATTTCAAGAAAGAAGCATGCGATCTTGCTTTTGACGCGTACAAGAAGTTCGAGGGTTTCCAGAGGATGCCAGATCAATCCATGTTGGATTATATCATAGAGTTTGAAAAGCGATACAATGAAATGAAAACGTACGACATGGAACTTCCTGTGAACGTGAGAGGATGCAAACTCCTTGAGAGCGCTGGTCTTGATCAACGAGAGAAACAAATGGCTCTAAGCTCTGCTTGTGCACTTGAGTATCCGAAAATTCAATCTTCTCTCAAGCGAATATTTGGTTCCCTTAGTTTTGTTAACGATGGAGAAAGTGCGAGTAGTACAACTGTGAAAACTGAAGTATTTGTTGCTACTAAGGGCCCCGGAAAAAACTGGGGCAAAAGTAAGTTCAGTAAAAGCAGTGTCTCGAAAAAGAAAAATCCCATTGGAAAAGATGGCAAAGTGACGAGATGTATAGTATGCGGTTACATTTTCCATTATGCTGGTTCCTGTCCTGACTCCACAAGAAAAAAGAACAGCGAAGTTAATTTGTCAGAAGCTACTGATATAGCAGATGAGCCCAGCCCCGAGGAATCGCTTATAACTATCGCTTTGATTGCAGGCTCTCGTCTATTGAAAGAAGCGTTTAATTTTGCCATTTTGGATACTGCTTGTACCGGAAGTATTTGTGGACAAACATGGCTTGATCGTTATCTTCACTGCCTGCCCGAAAAAAAGCGGAAATTAGTAGTTTTGCAAGATTCAAACACAAGCATTATGTTCGGAGACATGAAGAAACAATCTGCAGATTTTAAAGTAGTTTTACCTATTGAAATTGCTGGTCGCTTATGTACTCTGGCAGCCGATGTGGTATCCAGTGATTTACCACTTTTAATGAGCAAGGCAGCATTGAAAAAGGCTGGTGCAGTAATTGACACGAATAACGACTCCTTACTGATATTTGGTAAAAAGGTGAAGCTGAAAACAACGTCTTCAGGACATTACATTTTGCCCCTATTACCACCTGGTGATTTGGTGAGTACTGCGTTCATATCAGAGCATGAAAACGACATCTTGACTTCGAAGGAACTGAGAAAACTTCACATACAGTTTGGGCACTGTAGTCTCAACTCTTTGAGTAAGTTATTGAAGTGTGCAAATGCCAAATTTGTCATAGAAGATGTTCAGCGAGTCATTGGGGAATGCGAAGTGTGCAAGAAGAAGGCTCTGCCGAGCAGAAAACCGATTGTATCACTGCCTTTGGCAAGTGAACCGAATGAAGTCATTGCCATGGATCTTCATCAACTTGATACAAATTTGTGGTATCTTCATTTTATTTGTCTGTTCAGCAGATTCAGTGTGGCGGTTGCTATCAGATCAAAAAAGGCTGAAGTTATAATCGGTGGTCTAGTAAATTCTTGGATTTCAATATTTGGACCACCTTCGAAAAGTATCCTCACTGACAATGGCGGGGAATTTGCTAATGAGCAGTTGGCAACATTTGCAGAAGCATTCAGTTTCTCACTCATGACAACAGCAGCTTACTCACCGTTCAGCAACGGCTTGTGCGAACGTCACAATAGAACTTTGACAGAAGTTTTCAATAAGGTTTCTAAGGAGTATCCTTCGTTCGACGTTAACACAAAGTTATCCTTGGCTTGCTGTGCAAAAAACAATCAGTTCAATAATCATGGTTTTACTCCTTCCCAGATCATGCTCGGACGAAACCCAATAGGCCCTTCTGTCATCAGTTGCAAGCTGCCGGCTTTGAATGAGAGAGAAGGTGTTCATAATTATGTTGAGAACCTGCTCGCTTTATTCAACAGGACCAAATCATGCTTCGCAGAAGCAGAAGCATCCGAAAGAATCCGTAGAGCTTTAAGGCATAACGTACGAGGTAGTACTAGCTGTGAATGTGGCGATATTGTGTACTACAGGCGTCAACAGAGCCGTAATTGGAAAGGGCCCGCTCGTGTAATTGGAAAAGATGGTAAAGTAATTTTCCTTCGTCATGGGTCAGCTGTAGTCAGAGCTCATGAAACCGATGTTCTACTAGAAAATTCAGTTGACGTTTCTCCACACAACGCCCATTGTCCTCCACCTGACAGCGTAACTTCTTCTCAGAATCAAGTTCAAGTTGGTCATTCAGAAGAGGAGTACAGTGGTGATAAAGTTCCGAAAACTACAGAGTCAACCTGCGATAGAATTGAAACGCCAGATGTTGAAAAGCTGAATATTAGAGAGTCAAACGATGCCGAAACACTCTCCGCTGAAAAGAATTCAATGGGTGAGGAAGAAAGTAGCGACAATATTGGATATGCACCGTTGATCAAACCTGAAAGTCATGACGACGAGAACCAGAGCTCAGAAGTGATATCGCATCAGAATTTGGGAAAACCACCGAAAATCAACTCAAGAATATGCTGTAGGAGCAATAAAAATGGCTTTGAAGAGCAGGATTTTGTGGCAAAAATTCTTTCTCGAGCTGGTAAGGCGACGGGAAAGTATAAAAACTCATATAACATCGAATATGAGTCACCTGAATGGGCTCAGGGCCAGCAAGCTTGTCTGGACCTAGAAAAAGACGTTGAATCATAGGAACCTATCGAGGACAGTGAAATTTTTCTAACTGATTTGCAGAGCACAGTTTTCCAGAATGCAAAAGACAATGAAGTTATGAGCTGGAAAACTAACGATGTCTATAGTGTTGTACCAGACACTGGTCAGAAAAAAATGCGCACTCGTTGGATATTGACAATGAAAAAAACACATGGTCGATCAGAACTTATACCCAAAGCCCGTTTAGTTGTTAAAGGGTACAATGAAGACCTTGAAAAGCCGGAAAGAGAGTCACCCGTGATTGCTAGGGAATCAGTTAAAGTTTTTCTATCGATTTGTTCGGTGAAAAAGTGGACACCCTCGACGATTGATGTTAAAACTGCTTTTTTACAAGGTAAATCTCTTGACAGAGAAATCTATGTTTTACCCCCTAGAGAGTATTGCTCCGAGAAAGAAATATGGAAGCTCAAGAAACCAGTATACGGTTTGCAGGATGCATCCATGCAATGGTATCTACGCGTTAAAGAAGAGCTTTTGAAAGTCCATGTTTTACCTTGTCCATTTGAGCCTTCATTGTTTCTCTGGAAAAAGAATTCTACTTGCAGAGGTATAAGAGGTATACATGTTGACGATTTTATATATGCCGGTGACCAGGAGTTCCATGATACCATTATCAAGACGCTTGAGAATACATTCAAGATCGGACGGAAGCACTGTAGAGATTTTACTTTCACTGGGTTGAAAATCACTTGTAGCGAAAATGCTATAAATGTGTCTCAAGAACACTTTATTCACAACATGCATGAAATGAGTGTAACTGGTGACAAAACGCGGGTTTTATTGGATGAAGAAGTCGCAAACCTCAGAGGTCTCCTAGGCAAGTTACAATGGCTTGGCGGTCAAACTAGGCCTGATGTGTGTTTCGGAGCAAATTCTTTATCAGGCGCAGGTAAAAAGACTGCATTGTCGCATGTACATGAAGCCAACAAGCTCCTGAGAAGACTCAAGTTCAACAGTGAAATTAAAATGGTGTTTCCTAATGCTCTAAAGATTGGGTTCCTGGTAGTTTTTGCTGACGCAAGTTTCCAGAACCTGGAAGACGGAGGGTCTCAAGGAGGTCACATTGTTTTTATGGTCGACTCAGATACAAAAGATTGTCACTTTCTTTGCTGGAGCTCAAAGAGGATCAAAAGAGTTGCAAAAAGCACACTTACTGCCGAAACATTGTCGCTACAGGATGCTTTGGACTCTGCAGTATATGTTCAGGAACTTATTTTTCATATACTGAACGTTAGAATTCCGATATTAGCTTTCACTGATAGCCTTTCCTTGTTCCACGCATTGTATTCTAATAAGACGGTGGATGAAAAAAGACTCAGAGTAGATATCAGTTCGATAAAAGAGCTGTTGGAGCAGGGAAATGTTTCTGCTGTGTATTGGTTGGAGGGTAAATTGCAATTAGCGGACTGCCTAACCAAGAAAACCGCTATTCCCGAGCTCCTTTTGGACGTTATGGCTAGTTCCAAGCTACCTGACGGTGTGTCATTGTCTGGTAATTCCGAGAAAGAGAGAAAAGAACAGAAAATATGGTGATATTTAGCAACAATTTACTATTTTCCTTCCATTTTGTGATTCGTGCATGTATTTGTGTAGTTATAATTTATGCATTTCATGCTGTTCAGCTAAATCAGTTCCTTAATTAGCGATGTTCGTGTAAAACTTTCAATATTGACTGATACCAACTTGTGTCTATTCACTTAAGCTTGTATAATTTGTGCATTTTATCCGATTCAGTTTAAGCAGTATTCAACTTCTCATTGATTATCCCAACGTGCTAAAACTCAATGAGCATGCATGCAATCTGTATCTGAGCTGATGTGTGATTATAATGTATTCATTCAAATCATGCTTCTACTCCGCTGTTATTCATTCCTTTAACAGAAAGAGTGCAGTGTGTGAGACTGTATTTCACTGCGTTTAATATTTTGTGCACGCATAATTATACTTGTAATCAACCTGCCAACTCACTCGCTAGATAGTATCATTATATTAACGCATAAACACTTTTCAGATTCAGATATTGACGTTGTGCCTTTATATTGGATTTACACAATACATTATTTCTTATACAAGTTACTTTAACATATACAAGTTACTTTAATTATTATGATTTTTTTTAATCTGAAATTCCCAACCCTGAACTTGGGTACTGTCAGAGTACTATAAAGGATCGCGGATCTTGCCTCCAAATATGATTGCTCAAATTCTTGTAGGTTTCGAGATATGATGTTTTTTGTGATTTTTTCAAAAATTTTCAGAAAATTTTAATTAATTTTCTCAAAATTTGAAATTCCCAACCCTGTAGTTGGGTCCTGTCAGAGTAATCTCAAAGATTGCTACTCTTGCCTCCAAACATGATTGCTTAATTTTCTTTTTGTAGTTTTCGAGATATGACGTTTTTTGTGATTTTTTCAAAAATTTTCAGAAAACTTAAATTACTATTATTCTTTAAACATCTGAAATTCCCAACCCTGTAGTTAGGTCCTGTCAGAGTACTCTCAAGGATTGCAAATCTTGCCTCCAAATATGACTGCCCAATTCTTTGTAGTTTTCGAGATGTGAGGTTTTTTGTGATTTTTTCAAAATTTTCAGAAAGTTAAAATTAGTTTTTTTTCGAAATTTGAAATTCCCAACGCTATAGTTCGGTGTTGTCAGGGTACTCTAAAGAGTTGCAAATCTTGCCACATGCGAATGATAAACGCGACTGCTCAAATGCTTTTAGTTTCCGAGATGTGACGTTTTTTGATTTTTTCAAAATTTTTCAAAGAACTTATCTACAAAGAAATTCAAAAAGTTTGAAACTACCAGCTTGATGAAGATACAACCTTATTGTCAGCGTACACCCAGGCGTCTCAAATCTTGCCTCTTAATATGAATGCTCAAATCCTTTTAGTTTCCTAGATAAGACGTTTTTTTTTCAATTTTTTTTTCGGGAAACTTAGGTTTAAAAAAGTTCACAAAATTTTGGATTCCTTACCCTATAGTAGGGTGCTCTCAGGGACTCTCAGTGGTTGCAAATCTGGCCTCCAAATTTCTCCAGAGGCCCTTTAAGTTTTTGAGATGACGCTTTTAAAATGAGAATTAAAAAAAATTTAAAGTTTTTAATTGGGTGCAGTCAGAGTACACTAAAAGTTTGCCGATGTTGTTTCCAATATATGCGGTTTTTACTGAGTTGTCGAAAAATTTCGAAGCACCGAAGGTGCGTTAAACGCTAGTATATTATTATTATAGTCGCATTAAAGTTTGAAACGTTCATTTTTTAATTACTGGAATTATATAACAATATTGCCAACCGATGTTAAATAGTCAGTTATGTGTCCTAAAAGCAAAGGTTTTAAGCTGTGGTACTCAATTTTGCGTAGAAAAAATAGCTTGAAGAAATCAGTTCCTTTTTCAACCCGCAGTCGGTAATATTTTTCCATTTTTCTATTTGATGTTTATTCTAGTGCGCCATAATTTTTAAGGTACCATGAACTGCTCCAGAAGGAGCTGGGGGCATGCAATGCTAAGATAGACAAGATCCTGCTGACTCATTGGCACCCAGGTCAGTAAATTGCTTTTTTTTATTAGCCCCCGGTCCTGCTCAGTGCAGAACCAACCATGGAAGTAGAATGCTTTATCCTAGTGAATGTTTAACCATACAAATATTCACCATAATAATTTAAAAAACAATTAGGTTCGAGCTTAGTAGTAAATTTGTCAGTCCGGCGACAAATTGTGTCCGGCGACTTTTTTTCCGGGTGTTAGCAAACTGTTGACAACTTGCGCTCAGCTCCTCTGGCAAAAGCATCTGTTTGGATTTTTTGCTTTGTTTTGATGGCATTCTTTTGCTGTGTTGATTTGAACCTAATTACATTATTAAACTTGCGAGAGCAAATGTTTTGCAATAGGGAACTAGACTTTCCCCCATTGACAACCCCGTTGCCTCCGATCCTAAGGTCTGGGGATCGAGTCACGGACGGGCCTTGTTTTTTAGTATGTATAAAATTGAAAATTGAATTGTCGGGCTCTTGTTTTTCTGTTTATGTTTTTTTTGGCTTAGTTGTCACATCGGGGAATTTTTTTAATGAAAACATTTTTCATTCTAAATGAAAGTGTTTTTGATTTACTGATGTAATTTGTAAAATCAACAGCCCTGGCGTATAATTTCCTTGGTTTTCCTTTTTACTTAAAAGCTTCATTCAGCCTAGATGGTTTCTGTTTGTTTTATCGGCTTAGCTAGCCTTATTTTGTATTGCTTCAAAGACAAAAAACGATTGATTTTCAAAACAATACATCAGGTAGTTTGAGTTGCAAGATTTCTAAGTCTTAGAAACTAATTGCTCAAAATTGTTTTATGACAACAATTTTTCGTGAATTTTTTTCCGGCTCATTGGGCGTCTAACAAATTGTTGTCAGCTGTGTGGCTTGTCGACTGTGTAGCCGCTCGGTAAATACTTAAAGCTTATTTAATAGTGTTGGTTGAGTTTTTCGGCTGTTTTTCTGATTTTTTTTTCGATTTTGTTATTTCCGTCTCAATTTTTATTCGCTAGCATCCAATGCTCTGCTTGCATTGTATCGGAAGTTATGCGAAACTTTGCTCCGCATCTGCTCCGCATTCAACACCTCTACAGTGGTAAATTAGATAGTAGAATGTTGTTCAGGAAACTTTGTGTGCTGAGAACAATTTATGGAAAGTTTTTTTTATCTGAGTAATTTGAGGCGAGAACAATTTATGGAAAGTTTTTTTTATCTGAGTAATTTGAGGCTCACTAAGTGGATAATTAAGTTTATTTAAGAACAAGACACGTGCGAGTGATTTTCTGTCTTAAAAATTTTTTTGACTCGAAATAATTTTGTTCGGTTGAATGTTTTTTGCTGAATTTTTCTTTGGAGTCATGGTGGATTTTTTTATAGTGGATTTTTTGTTTGAACGTGGATTTATTTAAGTTTGTATTATGGTATAAACTCTTTTTTTTCCGACCCAAGTCGCAAATATTGTTGCGACAAAATGTGTTCTTTATGAAAGTGTTCATTTTGATCAATAACCAGCTATTAAGTACAGCCAGTGCTAAGGATATTAACACAAACCATTATATTACACATAGCACTTTAGCTTCAAGGTATCATGGATCTGTAGAGTAGAGGTAGGGAAGGAGAGCCGCAACAAAATAAGAGGGTTCGAATCTGGGCAGTGTCGGATCTTTTTTCAAATTGACTGGAACTGCTAATGCGTCATAATTGGATTGAGTCATTTAACAATTATGTAGACTCGTAATTGGCGTGCGTTTCTTAAGAAGTTTTATAGACTCAAAGTTTTACTCATTCAGTTTTTCCCAGTAGCGTTATCGGTCATTTTTTTGCTTGTGTATGCGAAATGCAACTTCGCCTCTATGTAAAATTTACTAAGTTGTTACTAAACAATAGGTTAAATGAATAATTTTAATCCTAAAGAATTGTATTTTGCCAGTTATACTGTCCTAATAGCCTCTCATTTAAATTAAGTTAACTGAATTGAGGCTCATTTCAATTACTTATAGAAATGATGAAGGTTACTCTAATTTATATCACCACATAGCTTTTAATTTTTTGAAAACCAAATAAAACTTGTTATGGTTGTTGTTGGCTACAATGGTATGGGCTATTTTGTTCATGTGGATTTACTGGTATGCTTGAATTTTGGCTTTGGGATATTTTGTCTTGTCGCCTGTTTTTGGTATCATGTATAAATTGGTCGTCTTTGGTGGCGACAAACTATCAAATGATAACCTTAAAATAGACGAATCTTCTGACTCTTAAAATGGTTTCGTTTTTATCAGCACTGTATTTTTTGGTAAATTTTTTACCTATTTGTCATTGAGGCAAATATGTCACGACTAAAAATGTGAAATTTTTTCGATAATAAGTATTTCTAATGCTAAAAAGTCTGTTTTTGAACGTTTTTTTTTGTTTCTGCTTATTAGCTGTATGCAAAGCTTATATCAGCTTATGAGTTAACTTGACGGTTCATAGATCTTAAATTTTTTTTTACCTTAGCTGTCAACCAGATTTTACTTTTGCTTTCTGCCTGGTCTTTGTCCGAGCCATTCGCAAAGTTTTACGAGGGTTCCGTAGCCTTTGGCGTTTGAATCATATTTCCAAACTAGTGAAATAATAATGACACGGCGCGTGCCTAATAAATTTAGCACTGTAATTTTTCGTGAATTTTTTTGCAATTTCCTTCTGAATTGGCTCCGTCAAATAGTTTCTGTTTTTTTGTTAGTGTTTTAATTGATTTTTAGATCATACTGGGGGAGTAGAGGCCATTCTGCAGAGCAAACATGATCTAGTCTGTCCAGGGCGGTGATGAGGGGTTTGAGTTAGTCGATTCAGTTACAAAGCTGCTAATGGCGCGAAAAAAAAAACATGAATAGCTTAAGTTTCAGAACTGGATTTTAATTTTGAGATTTCCCAATGGACCAATTACTTATGACTAATTTTTCTCAAATTAGTTTTATAAAAAAAGTATCAATTATAAAATATGCATGAAATTGAAAGAGCTTCAATGTTTTTTTTTCTGCGAAAGTTTTAAAATGTTCAAAACAAGTATCATTTTTGATTTTCTTGAGCTCATTGAAACTTCTTCAATTTTTATTATCCCATAAATACGGTGTATGGTTAGAACAATCACTTTAGAGATCAGTTTCCATGCTAAGTCAAGATGTTTTGGATTCTGTTTGCGATGATGAATAATATTTTAAAACCTCATCACTGTCTCAGCGGGCGTGGAAGTAATGAAGTTCAATTGCAGGAGGGGGGAGGATGAGCAGCTGCCATTCACTAACAAGTACACTTCAACACTTCAAGACAAGTAAGATACGATTAATCACTATAAAGCAATGTCAAGGAACTTGAATGTGAAGGAACTGTGGCTAGTGAGGTTTTTTCACACCGTTTCATGTACTTCAAATCAAGCTCAGGTAATTGAGTAATCTACAGTTGTAATTCAGATCGTAAAGGTTGTTCAAAAAAACTCTTAATGCCGAGGAAAGTTTTAGGGAAAATGTTCATCTGAATAAATTAAAGCTCACGAAATGGATGATTAAATATACTTATTCAAATGATTAAATATTCCTAGTTTTTCTTTAGTTAAAACTTATTTAATTTTTAAATTGTTTTAGGCCAATGTTTTAAATTTTTCTTACAAAAATTGTCGAAAAGGTTGGGAGAAATATACAAAATTTCGAAAACAAAAAAATCTTTCTGTTAACTTGGTGGTTTGCATAGGATTTTTTTTGGCGGGAAAACTTCCAAATTTTCGAGCTCTGCCAAAACTTCCGAATGCCATTGTTTGGCCAAATGTTTTACATAGAAAGTTAGTTTTTAGCAATTTTTGGAAAGAATTGACAGCGTTTTCTTGTTGTTTTTGTGAACTTCTGGACTTTTTCGGGGTCTGTCCAAAGGATTTCAGGATAGCTTTCCAGGTAAGAAATTGTGTGATGAACGTTCCCTGTTGTGTTTTTACAAATGTGGTTTTTTTCTGTGTCGGATACTTGGATGCGAAGCTAGTAATAGTTTAGTTTGCTGCAAAAACCGCTTTTTCGTTGCGCCAGTCTCACTTGTTCATCCCTATTCAAGTTTCACTCAAGGTGCTCTACTTATTTTGTTTTCAATGGTGGTGAGTCATTCAGCACACGATTAGGGGTGAGATTTGTAATGGCCCTGCTGACATAAGACGTCGATGTTAAGTTCGATGCATTGTTTTGTTAAATACTCTTTGAGGAATATTTCGATTTTGCTGTCGTCTGATTTTTGTCCAAATACTCGTTGGTGGCATGAATGATTGGGTAAAACTTTGTCGCTTTATTTGAAGTGCGTAATGGGGTGCCAATAACTTTCAACGGTCCTTTAATGAAATGCATTGCGTTTCCAACCTTACATCATCTACCACCGATATGCGTCAGCATCCGGTGGCTATGCGCAGGGCATCATTTTGTCCTGTTTCCAAATTATTCTTAGGTGTTTTGACAACTTTGGGTGCCCAAACCTCTGCAGCGTAATGCATGCTTGATCGACTGAGCGCTTTGTATAGTATTGAGCTGTGTTTTTTCACAAGCAAAGCTTGTGTGATAGTATGAACTCTATTTTTTTTCCATTTCAGCCGCAAATATTAGCGTTCATTTTGAACGTGTGCATTTTGATCAATAACCAGCTATTAAGTACAGCTAATGCTGAAGATATTAACACAGACTATTATATTCACTTCAGCTTCATGGTATCATGGATCTGTAGCGTAGAGGTAGGGAAGGAGACCCGCAAGAAAATAAGAGGGTTCGAACCTGGGCAGGGTCGACTGTTTTCAGGGGCGGATTTAGGGGGGGGGGGGGGCGGACGCCCCCCTCCCCTCAGGGATTCGACCCCCTGCCGACCCAAAGGGTCCTCCCTTTGATACTTTTTCAGAAATCCATTTTTGGCCGACCGACCCTAAAATTTTTCTAAAGTTTTTCGCGATTTTTTTGTCAAAATTTTTCAAAAAGTGCTCAAAAACGGCGCAGTGCCCAAAAGCTGCGCAGAAAATTTAGCCAAAATAGGGGCAAAACAGTGCTTTGGGAGAGCTCGAAAAATCAATTTGGTCGACCTAAAAAAAAGGTCGTCAAAATTTTCTCTTTTTTTTGAAAATCCGCCCCCCCCCCCCTCGAGAAAATCCTAGATCCGCCCCTGGCTGTTTTAATGAATTTTTTCGTATATTAGTTAAAATGCGTCCGATCTATAAACTGAGGCATATTATTCAGTAAGTTTTTTTTCAAATTTACTGGTACTGCTAATGCGTCATAATTGGCTTGCGTCACTTAGCATTTATGTAGACACATAATTGGCGTGCGTTACTTAAGAAGTTTTATAGACTCAAAGTTTTACTCATTCAATTTTTCCCTGTAGCTTTATCGGTCATATTTTTGCTTGTGTATGCGAAGTGCAACTTCACCTCTGTGTTTCAATATGCCTTGAGTTGATGTGGTCACGGCTTTGATGACATTGTTGACTTTTTGCATCTGTTGTTTATTTTTTCTTTCATTTGTTAGTGATTGGTCCAGTGTTACTCCTCCCAGAAGTGTGAGTTTATGTTTGAATTCGATAACAGTATTTTTAGAGCAAAATACCATGAGAAAAGTTTAGGTGAAATGACGTCGCCTTGTGGGAATCCAGTGTTTATTTTGCCGATTTACAGAAGGACGTCAAACTCTGTTCGCTGTTCGCGTCCTTGTAGGTAGCAGTTTAACCATTTTTTCGTGTTGGTGCATAGTGATGACTTTATGATGTCTAAAATCTCTGCGATATCCAAGGTGTCGAAGGCTTTTTTTAGATCTAAAAGGCAACTGCGACTGTTCCTATTGCTGTTTTTTTAGGATTGGAACCTTGAATGATATTTTCTGTTATGCTCCACCAGTCTGGCAATGGGTGATATTATGCTAACAGGTCGCTTACTTCCGGTTTCTGTGGCTAGTTTACCAAGTTTTTAAAGGCGTATTACTTTGCTGGTTTTCCAGATTGCTGGTATTCAACCCGTATTCAGTGACTTGAGACTTGCAGTGAAGTCTCTTGCATTTGGTCCGAAATTTTTAAACTGTAGCGTGGACATGTCATCCATTGCAATTTTTTTAGAGCTCTTTCTTTGGCGTGTTTCTCGGCGCTGTCTTCTGTCTCAAAAATGGCTTTCAAAAATAGTTCTGAAAGGGGATCCTTTTGAAAAAAAATTACAACCAGGGGTCAGGGGACATGATTTTTTTCGAAATTTAAATATATTTTTGCAACTTTGATTGGCCCTTTTTGTAGTGTAACTACCTTTACGGTAACTGGTTACCCCTGATTGTTTATGGAATCTCTCGAGATATTTTTTTTGTAAAACGCGTGAAGTTGTTTTTTTGCTTGTTGTAAGTAACGACACGTTCCTTGTTGACAATCAGAAAGAAGACCCAACTAACTCCATCTTGCAACCAAAACGCTCTTTCATATATTTTAAGCAAATTAGTTCTGGGCGATTTATATCTTTTTAGATGTTTGCACCACTACTATATACTAAGTATTTCTTTTCAGCTTTAGAAAACTTTTCCCCAATTCATCATTTGAAAAAAAACAGAAAAGGATCGCTTGCACAAAAGCAATTACGCGCCAAAAATCAGTAGGTGTTATATGGCAACAAACGGAATGCGTTTTTCTGCAATATTCTATCTTACTCTAAAATTTGTAGATTCAATTAATTATTAAACTTAATGCACAGCCTTCAACCCAAAAAATATTGCCATCGAATTGTCTGCTGCATTGCTACTGTCCCTTATCTTGCTAAATTAGCTTTTGTTTTAATTTTGAAAAAAATACACTTGAATATTATAAAAAGTCATTCCCTCTATCGTTTTAATATTCAAACTACGTAACATTATTTAAATTGAAATTTCAGTTACAATCAATTTTGAAAGCGTTCTTTTTCAATAGCTTTTGAAACCTGACAACTTTTTTATCTGGGTTTCATTTTGTTGCTACCGCAAATTGCTTCATTTTTTCCATACTTTCATATAATTCAATTCAATTTAAATGATTTTTTTTTCTCTTAATTTTTTTTTGTCACAACACTTTCGTTCTCAGCGTTCACTGGAGAAACTGACAAAGACTGTTTCAAGCTCCAAGGACTGTTGCGGGCCTGTATCACTCTACCCGCGTACCAGAAAAACAAAATCAGCGCCATCAATATTTACAGCTTCATCTAGTCTTTAACTTCTATTCAAATCCTGATGAAGCTGCTCAAAATGATTTCAAGGACCTTTGGAGCAATTGCGAAATCTTGATACAGGACGTGACCGAATCTGAGAATATGACTTTGAGTTACGAAATAGATGTCGCATATTCGAAACTGAGGATGCATCGGATTTTCTAACTATTTGAATCGTCTAGCTAGCTTGGCTATTTTAGATGACACCTACGCAACAATAATCCGAGAGGACAAGCAAAACAAGCGACTAAGAAAGCAATTAATTGGTGGAATTCCCTAGAAGTACAGTAAGGTCCTGCTCCGAGCTTACGACATTGTATGGTCGAATACTTGTGCTTTATTTTCCCCAGATTTTAAGATGACAATCAAAATTCACGCGGAATTTCAATTCTGTCAAAATCAAAACTGAGGAATCTCAGCAGTTCTTGAATTTCTAAGATTCGTGATCTGCGGAATCTCAGCAATTCAAGATATTGTTATATAGCCAAAACTTAAGAGGTTCAATGTAACTCAACACCTCATATTTGGGCTAGGCAGAGAGCAGTCGAAATTTTGAACTTTTTTTAAGCAAAGTATGTAATCAATGCCGCAGAAAATAAAGAGTATTACAGTGATGAAGAAGTCGAAAACATTGTCGAGCTCCAATGACCAGACAGACTACTTTGATATTGATGATTATCCAAAACTTTGCGAAGACTATCACGAACCTGATTATCAGGAGCGAAATTATTACTCGGACAAAGAACTGCTTGTCACTGGTGAAAATAGTTGGGCTGGCTGGACAAAAATGTCCGTTGCTTTGCAGTTTGTGCCGCAGTGACACTCATCTCAACAAGGTACTCCAGGATATCTCTCCTTCCTCGACCAAAGTAAAAAGAAAGCATGATCTACTTGGTCTTGTCGTATCTTCAATAATTTAGTCTGCGTGTCTTTTTACCCATCATCCGACAGTCCATTTAGACAAAGATTGCCAAAATGCATCTGTTTTTTTTTCAGTTTTTGATGTTTTGTTGGACTCTTCGACTCAATTTTCAAACATTGCACAAACAGATTCTGCAAAAGAAATTGGGGGTGCAATGACTATCATACTGATTGTACTAACAACCTAGGATACTTGTTAAAATTCGGCAACTGTTATTTAGAGCAATTTATTGGGCATCCGTTTATTCATAAATGAATACTGTAGCTATTGAAGCATTTACAATTTTCTGACGACAAAGAAAAAAATTAACAACTTCAAATTGGAGCCATCACAAATAATGATGCGCTTTTCTCAAGTTTACAGGACTAACTCCTGCACAACCAATTGGCAGACGAAATCTAATTGTTTTTCGGTTTCTTTTGGTCAAAAGTTAGCTTTGTACAGTGTGCCCACAACAGCAGCCTCTTTGTCTAATACAGTCAAGTCTCGATTTAACGTACCTGTTTGGGCGGTCAAAAAAAAATACGTAAAATCGAGGTCTACGTTAAATGGAGGTTTGAAAAAAAGGCGTTTTAAATGAATTTTATTCATCATTCATGGGTGATGCATACATAAGTATCAAAATAATCGAGCAGGGACGATTGCCGTTTCTTAGCAATAGAGTGCTGTTGAATAGTTTCGTAAAGTAGGTGAACTTGTTGCAAGTCCTCGGGTTTACCTTCTGCTTGGAAATACTGTCGCAAAACTTCGATGCTATGATGAACTGTTTGGATCCCGGGAACAGTAAATTCCTTAGTCGTTGATGCTTCACTTCCAGATTCCACCAAAAAAACATCATTTTCATCGTCATTATCTGCTTCTGGCTCAGCGAAAGGTTCGCTTGTTGAAATTGTGTCATCATCAAACCTTTCATTTGGAGGAGTAGTCTCCTCGCTCACTATTTCTTCCACATCAGTGTCAACTTCTTTACAGAAACCCGCTTTTCGGAAGCAGTTTTGAACCGTTCCAACTGATACACCACCATCCCAGCTTTTTTTCAGCATGTGCATGGCATCCAGCACGGAGATGTTTGCACGTTGTTCTCCACAGTCCAAAGCAGTAACATGTCGTCTGGTAACTTCGTTCTTATAATGGCTTTTGAGACTTTGAATAATTCCCATATCCATTGGTTGACAGCGCGATATTGTATTCGGTGGAAAAATTTCAGTTCAACATGCTCAAGCGTGATTTCAGTATGGGCTCTGCAGTTATCGAGGAAAAGCATCACTTTACGTTTTTGTCAACAAAAATTTCAGAGTTCATCCATGCTTTGCCTTGACTGTAATACTTTACTGGCAAATGATTGACGTTTCTGAAGGCACGTGGTTTTGCAGACTTGTCAATCATTATCAGTGGCAGTTTTTTGCCAGCCAAAGATGCTCCTACCAAAATAGTAAGTCTTTGTTTCGATTCTTTTTTACCTCTCATATTGCTGTCATTTGACTCCTGAGCAGTGATGTGGGATGCATTTTTCGTCTGGGTGTAGAATAATCCGGTTTCGTCCCAATTATAGATATCTTCCGGGCGATAACTCTCGATAACTGATCTCAACACTATAGTCCAGCTATCCACGATCTCCATTGACAATGTGCCTCCTTCCCCGTGTAGTTTCTTGAATTTGATACCGTATCTGTTTTTGAAATTTGCTAGATATCCTCTGCTAGCCGAAAAATTGGTAAGTTTCAATTCTTCTGCATACTCCTTCACTTTTGCTAACATCGCATCACCACTGATTTCCACTTTGTTGCAACGTATTCGCAGAAACCATCCATATAACTTCTGGTCAAGCTCCGGGTAACTGCTTGCCTTTAGGTGTTTTGTCAGTTATTGCACGTGTGAAAAATCTGGTAATTTCAAATTCTTTCTTCAGAATAGCGTCTAATGTTGAAATCGCTTGCAAATTTTGGCTTTTGCTCCCTGGTGCGTCTTGATTTCGTTGTATGCTTCGATAATTGCATGCTTTTCTTCCACTGTACGAGATTTCCTTTTGGCTGTGTTCATTTTGGCCCACTGCATGCAAACTTCACATTACTCAACTGAAGAGTGACGTTAAATAAAGGTTTATTTACATTGCAAACATTGGTTTTGGTCCGATGCAGCAGTTACGTAATAACAAGGTTATACGTTAAATCAAAACTAGGTAAAATGAAGGTTTTACTAAGGGGAAAGTTTGGGACCGGAAAAGGAATTACGTAAAACCGAGGTTTACGTTAAATCGGGAGTCCGCTAAATCGAGATTTGACTGTGGAACGTTTCGAAACCAGTTACTAACGTTGTTGCTGTTTCAACTGGTTCTTAATTCAACGTTGAATTGAATGATTTTAACCTCAGCTTCTCGCAGAGTTTTAGAAATTTAGTGACCTCTATTGTCAATATGGATAGCATCTCCCTAATACAGTCAGCAGACCTTCAGAACGAACATCTCAAAAAACCTGCCTATTAAAAAATTAGATTGCCTCCCAAGGTATCAGCCGTTATAGAGCTTTACTTAAACGGAGTTAGAGAAATGAGAAAACTTTGAATCGAAATATCAACTAGCAGTTTTGAAGTACATTTAACTACACGAAGGTTTGAGAATGAAAAATTCACCCAACCGACGATATTCGTGAATGGGACCAACTTAACATAACTTAAGTTGTTGTCAATTTTGTTTTAATCGGCTGGTTGGTTGTGCTTTGTTTTCCCTGCCCGCGCTAAAGTTTAAAAAATAATTACTTCTTTTTGCTTTCTCCTTACTTTTGAATCCGCTTCTCAAACCTGCTGATCGTCTAATTCCCATCACCAATTACTCTACCAACTTTCTCTGGAAGTAACGATAGAATGGGAAATAATTATTGTGGAAAAATTTTAAAAACAGAAATTACCGTTGCAGCTTCTTCAGAAAAAAGCCCGCTGTGTAAAGAACGACACTTTCCTTGTTGATAATCGGAACGAACACCCAACTGATTCTATTTTGCAGCTAAAACGCTCTCTGCACGTGTTTTTGACCGACATAAAATACACTAACCATTTATTATTTTAGCTGCATGCACCTTAATAGACCAATGATTGCATTTCAGCTGTAGGACACTATTCTCAATTCACTCTCTAAAAACAGTTGGCTTTGAAAATAAGCAGAAAAGGATCGCCTGCACAAGAACGAACACGCATCAAAAAACAGAAGATATACTTGTCTTTATTTATTCTTTTTTATACAAGCGTCACGGAGGCGTCCATTGAAAAGTTGCTGTCGTTTTTGCGCCTGTGAAGTGCAGTATGTGACCAAATCGATTTCGATTTCTAGTTTCGAAAGTGAAATCTAATTTTTAGATTTCTCAGCAAAGTATAGAGTTTACGAAATTGAATGTTCTAGATGCCAATCTAGCTATGTCGGGCAAACTACCCGCTACCTTGCCACAATACTGAACGAACATTCCAGAATCAGTAGTCCGGTTGGGGAGCTTTTACAGACATGTGGTTCTGCTCTTGAGAAATAAGAAGTGAAGATTATCGACACAGCCTTGCATATCAAGCTGAAGAAGCCTCTGATTTACAGGAAAGAGGAGTACAAGGCACACTAACTTACACTGAAGCTGCGATTACATTGTTCCACATTTTCGTGGCTTGTTTCATCTATTTATTTTAGCAGTTTTATGCAACATTGATGTTTTTCCCAAGATCAAGTTCACTTATTGATTCAATTTTTTTTCCAAATTGAGTTAGTTTTTTCAAAAAAGTGTCAATCCTTAATTGTCTGTTGGCTAAGCTTCACTTTTTGATCTCCTTCGAACATGTTCCCGCAAATCTTTTCCTGTATATGAACTGCGGAAAAGTGACTACATATCTATTCAAAGATGAAAGCTTAAGCAATGTTCAATCAAAACTTGGGTCAAATTTTGGTCGCTGCCTTCATAATATCAGAAAGACCTTTACAATTTGATTCTTTTTTTTTCAACCATTGATTCTAGCATTTGATTGGAAATTGTTTTTTTTTATTGCTGAATTCTTTGATTAGTTATTTTGTTCAGTTTATTCTAACTTGGTACAGTTTTTTCGTTCTTTAATTATGCTGGGAGGGGTTTTATTTCATTTTTCTACGATATCTTTTGCAAATGATCTGTTGTTAGCAGTTTTATGCAATGATTTGATATTAGAAATTTTATACTGGGAGGGATTTGATTTCAGTTTTCCACGATATCTGATACAAATGATCTCTTATCTGCGATGCATGGTCTGAAAGTTGTTAAATGAGGTCAATTAATTACAGAGGAAGGCGAAGTGACTTTTACTGCTGCTTTGCAGTTTGTTCTCATTAGAAGGCGAAAATAGACCGTGCAGGGCGTATTGATGTGTGATATATTGATCTAAAAAACGCGCCCTCCTCGGTTCCGAACCCCTGTCGACCCAAAGGGTCCCCCTTTGTGCTGTTTCAGATATCCATTTTTGGCTGATGGACCCTACAATTTTTCTAAAGGTGCCTTTGGCGCCAAATCATACCAATTGTGAGGGGGACGCGAACGCCAAGGGTCATTTTAGTGCTTTGGGAGAGCTCGGAAAATCAATTTAGTCAACCAAAAAAAAAGTAGACAAAATTTTCCTAAATTTTTTGAAAATCCGCCCCTCCCCTCTAGAAAATCCTAGATCCTCTCCTGATTTGATGTGAGTTTTCAGTGGCTGAAAATTAAATTATTGCAGCATCTCTTCTGTCCTACAAAGTTTTTGATTGCGTGACTTTCTTTCAACATAATTGTAAAGACGCCGAAAACGGCTTGATTATCGAACTTGAATATGACTGTAATAGGTCAATAGCATTGAAAGTGTGTTTTGCTATTGTTTGATATGCAGAAATCAATGTTAATGACTAGGTGCGGACGCTTTTTTGGCCAAAATTTTTGACCTAAGAGAACGGCCTTTTTGACCTGTTTTTTTTTCTTCAAATTTTTGATGTCTTCATAATGAGGTTTTCATAGTGTTCTTTGAGCGCTCGAAAAATCAATTTGCTCAACCTTAATAAAAGGTCGACAAAATTTTTCAAAATCCGCACCTCGCTTGTAACGATGGGTTTTACTGTGCTAAGTTTGAAAACTAAATAACTTTGCCACGACCTAATTAATCCGCATGCCAATTTTCGTTGCATTCGCACGCAGATGGGACGAGAGAGAACCCAAATACTGAACATGATTAAAAACAGTCGAAGGTGCATTTCTGCATCTTAAACATAAAGTTTCAGCCATTTACTTAAAACTCTCAAACTATATTCCCCTGCTGAGTAATCAATGTTCTCTACAATCAGATTTCAAAACACAGTGACTTACTTTTTGTCATAACTATTGAACCATATGGACATCTTCGTCCTACAAAAAAAACGATATGTTCGAGAGGATGATAGTTTGATCTTAACTGGTGTTTTCAAAGTTTTTATACATGCTTTTTCTATAGAGCAGTTTTAATCCAAATTGAAAAATGGTCCAAAAGATGTTGTTTATTTAAGTTGGAGTGGGAAGGTGGAAAGTTGTTGAGTGATTTTTCAATAAAACTGAAAGTGTGCCAGCCTAAAGCTCATCTGTTTTTTTCTTCATTCCAAGGTATCAGCTTGGTGTGAGTTTGTAATAAACTGATGCTAGTATTTATTCGAAATAGGCAAACTGTGCTGACAGAAGGAGCCACTCTAACAGTACTGTACACGCCTGGACACGCTACAGGTACAAGTGTGGTATATAGGCCCATCATAATATAAGGGAAGACGCTTATTAAGAGTTGGCAATCAATTAATTAAAGGGTTGGATGTCACTTGATTAAAAAGTACCAGAAAAAAGAAAAGTGGCTAATTTAAAGCCAGAAATTCAGTTCATCTAATCGTGTTTCATAAAATCTATGTATAGTGAGTGATAAGAAGCTTAGGTTTTGCTCAAAAAACGGTTTCAACTTTAAACCTAGAGACCGAAAAAGTTTAGCAATACCAATGAAGCTCAAAACAAAACATAAGTAATTAATTGAACGCCAAAAATTTCAATTCCTCCTTGTTTTGGTGCAAATATATACTGATTTCGAGGGAAAGAACCACCCAGCAAATGTGTTTGTGTGTTTGGTCTACCAAAAAAAAATGAGCAATTGCAGACTTAATCCGAATTAAATTGATGCGGGTAGAATTTTTAGTTGTTTTGTGGATCTTCAGATGGATCATTTTGGGCAACAGGCTAATTTGGGCAAGCGTATCATATAATTGAATGGTTAATTGACATGAGGTTTTCCCCTTCGCCCTCATATCACACTTGTTCCTGGTCACAGATCATGCCAGCCTCTTGCTAGAGGAAGAGTCAGTCTTGTTCAGTGGGGACTGTATTCTTGGAGAAACGAGTGCTATCGTAGAAGATCTTGCCAGCTACATGCAGGAATGCCTGATTTAACTCCGATTTTCATTTGATTTTATTATAATCGTATCTAGTAAATATACCCTCCCCATTTGGTGCCCACAAATTATACAAACTCCGCCTCTAACTGAAAATTTCTCGAATAAAAGCGTTACGTTGTTTTATATGCTATGTTAAGCTAAGCCTATCAGGCAAAAAGGGCATTGCGGATTTTAAGGGGACCCTGCACACCAAAATGATTACCCCGCTTTGGTACTATTTTAAGACTGACTCACCGACTAAAATATTTTTTCTACAAGCGCTTTTGGCGCCATTATATAGAAAATTTGAGGGGCTGCGTGCGCCAAAGAAAGCAAATTTTTGGTTGAAGTTTTCTAAAAAGTGCCTAAAATTGTCATTTTAGCTTGTTGATATTAGAAAAAATTTCTCAAAATAAGGCTTTTGAACTATTTTAAGAGAGCTTGGGAAATCAATTTGGTCGACCATAAAGAAGTTTTAGATCCAAGCCTGAAAAAGGGTAAAAATTTTTAAACATGCTGATAACCAATTTTAACTGGATATTTGTCATTTACCTAATTTTTGGCTTACCTCAAAAAATTAATTTAGCTTGTCTAGGTTTTTGGGGCGTGCGATATTTAAGTCACAGGGATCTACTTAACGACCTCTCCCCACCCTATGGTATCTACTAAAGAGTTTCCACCCCGATAGATAAAAAGCAGTAAATTAGCACTTGAGCGTTATATTTAAAATTCAAATTTTGCTGCTTTCTGATTGGTCTAAAGTTCAAATTTTGCTGCTTTCTGATTGGAATAGTTTAATCTACTTTACACTTGCCCCCCTTTCTTGAAAGAGGGTTCTTATTAAGTAGATCCAGTAGCAGTATGTGAAAATGAAAATAATCTGAAGCTGAATCAATGTCGACCCCTTTTGTAGATTTTTTTGTCGATCTTTTTTTAGGTTGACTAATTTGATTTTCCAAGCTCTCGCAAAGCACCCTGTTTTGACAGTCTATCAAGACCCTATTTTGGCCGCAGGCAAAATTGTGGGGAAAAACAGGCTCAAAAGGCGCTTTTAGGCCCTTTTTGGAAAATTTTAGGGTCCGTCAGCCAAAAATGGATATCTCAAAAGAGTACAAAAGGGGGCCCTTTGGGTCGACAGGGAGTCGAATTTTTGAGAGGGGATACTAATAAAAGAGAGGATTGATTGATATGAAGAAAGAAAACCGAACTTAAATTCATTCCTGGTTATACAGACTTTGCAGTCGTACCTGGATTTGGACAAACCGGTCAAAAAAATATTTCCGGGCCATGGCCCAGTGGTGGAAGACGGAGCCGCCAAGATTAAAGAGTACATCAACCACCGAATGAAGAGAGAACACCATATAGTTGATTGTCTAAAAACTGGACCAAAAACTTTAGAAGAGATCTTAGAAACAGTCTATGTTGGTCTTGATCAAAAGCTCAAACTTTTAGCTTTAAAAAACATTGAAGTACATCTTCAAAAATTAGTAAATGAACATGTAGTCATATCAGAATCAGATAATAATTTGTACCGTATTGTGTAAATTTACGGATGATGTATTCAGTTGTTAAACATATATGAACGAATTTACTTTTCTTTTTTAAATAGTCCTTTTGATAAATTTTTTCTTAAGAAATGTGAAGATAAGCAGAGGTTTTTTGTTCATCTTTGAATTTTAGAAATTTTGATTCACTTTTTGGATACTTCAGCGGATCAAAATAATTTCATCTGGTTTTTTCAATTCAGTTTGTTTTATCCTTTCTTTTCAAATCGAGCTCTAATTTGGTTTTAAAATTCGAACTAAGTTTAATCCGTTTTTTTCTGCATTTTTTTGCAAGTGAAAGTTCTTCGGTTTTATTGGCATTTTTCAGTAGTTTGATGGCTTTTTAAATGTTAATGTCGTAATTTTTATTATCATCACTCAACCTGAGCTGTTTCCGAGCTGTTCGCAAAATATTCGAGTTTCTGAGAGTGAAATATGCATCTGTTAATCAGTTTCTTGTTTTCAGTTATAGCATTCGTCCTTATGACAGATTCTTTACCGTTGAGATTTTTTACTCGTGAATAACGTAGTTCACAGATTGGTCAAAATTAGAAATGGTAAGTTCAGGCTCAATTCATAATGAATTCTAATTTCTTTGTCTCCGTTATATTTAGTCTGGAGGTAAGGAATACGCCTGGGACGGCAAAGTTTTTCTGTAAGTTATTTGTTTTTGAAAATGTTTGAAAATCAAGCCTTCGGAAGTACAATTAGGAAATCTCGTTTTTTTACCAACATTTTTTCTGTTTTTTTTTTCGCTGGAAAAATTTTTTTCTGTTCAAATGAATTCGCCGTATGTTTTATTGACTTAATGACTTAATTTTTAGTAGTTTCAAATTACATCATATTTTTATACTCACCTTTGGATTGCACAAAATTTTCAAATAGAAATTGTACAAGTTTTTATCGGGTTACTGGCCTAGTATTTCCTCTTATTTTTTTCGTAGATTTTTATTTTTTGTTTTTTTTTTTTCAAAAAGTTAAATACATTCCATGGTTTTTTGGTTTTTATAAACGCCAAAACTTTCTGTTCAAAAAAATAGCCTAAAATTTTTAGTTTTTTGGATACTAGGTTTCTGATTTAATTTTTATGTAAAATTTGAGCTTGCAAAATTTCATCTAAAAATTGAAATTTTAATTGTTGCGTTGAATTGATTTAAGTTTTAATTCATTGGTTTGTCTGAGATTTGAGCTTCTATATTTGAAATCGATTCAAATTGATGACTGAGCGTATTGTATTCGTTTGTAAAAAAAATTCGAAAAACAATAAGCAAATGCTAACAAGTTTTTCGTAAATTTTGACTTGATTGTCTAGAAAGATATATAGCTAATGTCGGTTGAGCTTCAGGAGTGTGGCTCTTTATGGCTAAAATTTTGGAAAAAAAAAATTTTCTTGTTCATTTTCTTTTTCATTCACGGGCCTTTTTGTCTTTCTCTGTAAATTTTTTCTTGTGATCCAGCTCTCCTAATGTTGCGTATCGAAATCATATTTGATAAGTTTGATGTAACTGAAGTGTTTTTCAAGGTTGGAAAGTTTTTTTTTCAGTTTTTCTGAACATTATTTTTTCTAAAAAATTGTTTGAAATGTTTTTATTTTTGTCCTGCAGATAGATTTCCGCTTAAAGCAATTATTTTTATGTATTTTTATAGCCAACTTTTCGTGTAATATAATCAGATTGTTTGGTTGCTAGTTGATTTTAGCAAAATTTTCGAATACCTTTAGGAATTTTTAGATCTCGATTTTCTTAACAAAATTTTTTTTCTGAGCTTTTCGATGTATTGTGTATGAGAAAGAAATGAAGTGAATTTTTGTTGCCCTAATCCATCTTATTTTGTAGGAAATTGGCTTTGTTGACAGTTGCAGTATAATTTTTCGTGCTCTTTTTTTTTCATCGATTCGTTCAAGTTGTTCTAGTTTCGTTTGAGGCAACTTATCTTGTGTTTTTGGCATTTTATTCAGTATCGCGGAAGGAGCGAAGCTCAGCTTTGCCTCAGTGTTAAAGTCGTACGTTTCTAATTTTATGAAAATATACTTGAGTGAGTCTTTGATTGATTTTGTATGATATACAAAAGGCTGCTTTCGTGAAAAACAAACACTTAAAATTTAGTTATGAATAATCTTGTGGGTAACCAACAGTATCAACTAGCTATTCCGCATGTAAAATTTTTTTGAGCAAAATAAAATAATCAAAATTTAGTTATGAATAATCATGTCGGTAATCAACAGTATAAATTAGCTTTTCCGCGTTTAAAATTTTCTTGAGCAATATAATCTGCTCTCTTGTTTGATTGAAATGCATACTTTTTACGCAATTAGGTTTCAAAAACAAAATGCAATTGGGGTAAAACTCTACGGTAGGTCACTTACAAAATTTTCTGAGCCTTATTCAGAAACAGATATCTTTTTTTAAACCTCATACGAAAAAAATGATAGAATTTACAATAGTTGTTTTTTGTGGCCTTTCCAAAACTGTTCGGTAAACAGTCGGCCTTTTCCAAAAATGACGCTTCCGTGTAACTACGATTAAATTGTTCTCTGCAGACTCTATATTTCATTTAAAAAACTATACACAATTATAAAAGTTTCCGCTTAAAAACTGTTAACCGCAAAATTTTTGTCCCTCGCATTTTAATGAGAATACTATTTAACCGAAAATCAAAACCAAGTATGCAACGTGCCTTGTAAACCTAATTTTAAAAAAGAAATGGTAATAGAGCTCCTAAAATGTTCATCAAGTTTCACAGATTAATGCATCTACCGTAAGATACCTCCTCAGCATCTTCCAAATGTAGAATCGAAAAAAATCTAATATCTACATGCAAGTCTCGGGTGATGCTTTCGAATTTTTTTTTCTAATAACGCGTGTCATTTCAAAGTTAAAGTACTATTCTATGATATTAAAATATTTGGAAGTATTTTTAAGCATTTAGTAGCTGTCTGTTTTAATGAATTCTTTCAAATTAAAGCGCGAAGTGAACTCTGGAACTCTTTCAAAACCTCAATGTGAGTAATTTTTTGTAGCCTTCCCGCACCAAAGTTTCTCCAATTATTATCTTTTATCTGGTAATTTTATGATCGAACAAAAAAGCATTCTTTTATTAATCAATTATCTGGTGATTTTGTGGTCGCAGAGTAAAATAATCCATTATATGGTGAAAAAAAAACAGCAAAAACTATTTTTATGTCGATTATATTGGAATTAAAATAAATTACATTTTAAACAAAATGGCCAAAAAAAATTTGATTAAAAACACAAAAATGTGCGACTTAAACTTTTTTAAATTCTTAGTTGCCTGAGCATGAAAATATAAGATTATTAGCAAAAGAAAGCTTTTAATTAATTATCGTACAGATTTTCAAGTTTTGTCACGTGTCTTGTTTTACGTGTCTAATTACAGACCGCACTCTCTACAGACCGCAATTTCTAACCCGACGGAACTCGAAATATTCAATTTGATTTGAATCGACGAGATGAGCCTTGGGTATGAAAAATGACTTAACTCAGCATGAAAAACTTCGTAAATTTATTTAATTTGCATCTTACTGTAATGGGGGAGTGGAATTATGTATTTTAGATTTTCCCATCAATTTGTGGTGTCCTTGTTCTTTTACACTTTTCCAATCTGCTGCGTTAATTCAAAACCAGTTTTAATCATTCTGATAGGTTTAGGTTTTTTACCTCATGCAATCGAGTACTAGACAGTTTTCCATAAAAAACGTTGGTCACAGGACTCATTTAGACCCACTTGCTGGACGCATCTGTTGCCAAAAAAGTTAACGTAACAATCAAAAAAGATGTCTTTTTTGAGACGTCTTTTTTATCAATTTGTTTTTTTTTTGTTTTTTGGTCAAATTGTTTTGAACAAAGTTAGTTTTATCACAGAGGTGTCAATCTTAATTTTTTGTTCATTTCAATGGGCTTTAACATAATAGTTTTTTATTTCTTCGAAAGTTGAAAATGCAGGGCTCATCCAGAAGCATTTCGTGGACGCCTCTGTTGGCGCTAATTTTAACTTAACAGACATTTTTCGTGAATATTAGCTTCTTAATTCTCTGCCCTTTTCGAATTTTGCTTTCTATGTTGTTTTCAATTTTACCGACACGATTTGTTTTTTTTTGTCCTTTTGTTCTCGATTTAATAGGTTTTGCGCTGCATTATATCGACCTAGTGGCCTCATATTGCGTTGTTTGACAAGCAAATATAGTTTGTTATGCCTTTGTGTGTTTTGAATGCGAGGAAAACTTAAAACTTAGTTTAATATTTTCGGCTTGACACGTTTCTGTTTTTTCGCCTTTGTTATCGCTTGGTAAATTTTCCTTTAGGGCGTTTTTTGCAATTTTTGTCTTAAAATGAACGAAGTGATTTTCATTTATGTAGGTCTTGTTGATTTTTTTCTCCAAAAAAAATTCTCAAAGGCTCTCAGAACTACAGAAAGGTATTCAAAGCTATTTATGCATTTATGAAATAACTTAGGTATATATGCATTTTTTGAGTTCAATTCACATTAATCTGTTATAATCTAGGTAAATTGCGCTCTCCAATTACGACATCGTAAATGACGCGAATAAACGTGAGCGACTTTTGTTTACCAAAGTATATTTGACTTTTTAGAATTACCAGCGGAATAAAAACTTTGTTTTTTGATCTAGTTTTTTCAAACGAAATTAACTCTATCATAAAGATGACAATCATATTTTTTCTTTCAATTCCTTGAGCTTTGTTTTGAGATAATTTTTACAAAACTTTTTACCTGCTGTTGGCTATGTTCAAAACCAGAATTTAATTCAAAGCCAGTTTTAGTCATTTTGATATATATATATAGGTTTTTCACTTCGTTTTTGACACCTTCGTGGTCCTTGATGATTAATACAATTGCGATAACAAGTGTGTTCCAACTGGACTTTTTTCCCTTAAATATCTTTGGTCACAGGACTCATCTAGACTAATTTCCTAAAAGCCTCTACTGGCACTTAGTTTAACATAAAAGTCCTGTTTTTTGGAAATTGGCTTCCTAAATATCCGCCCTTTCCGAATT